ATGTTGATATTATAGTTGAGGATGAAGACAAGGCGATGCTACTTCTGTGTTCGTTGCCCGAAGATGATTATGGTACGTTCGTTCTCACTATGATCAATGGAAGAACTACAGTTAGCTACAAGGAGGTGACCTCAGCTTTGGTGAACTATGAGTTGAGGAAGAGTGATGGTGAACCCTCCGAGAAGGCATCGGGAGATGCGTTAGCAGTTCGAGGCCGAGATCCAAACCGTCGTCAGTTCAACCGCTCAAAGTCAAAGAATAGGAGTGCCTATAAGAGTGTTGGTAGAAATCAATGTCGGTATTGTAAAGAAGAAGGACATTGGAAGATTGACTGCCCAAAGTGGAAAGAAAAAGCCGGAAAGAATAAGGGGAAAGCTGCACAAGCTTCAGAAGTGAATGTTGCAAAAGCTATTGGTGAGCATTCAGATTCAGATTCTTCAGGCTATTCATGCCCTGCTTTACCGTCGGTTTGCTATGCGGATTCCACGGAGTGGATGATGGATTCGGGAGCTACATATCACATCTGCCCTAAGAGGGAGTGGTTTTCTAGCTTTGAGGAGCTGGAAAGAGGGGATGTCGTGCTTATGGGTAATGATCACGTATGCCCTATTGGTGGTATTGGTTCAGTCCGGATCAGGATGCATGATGGTGTAGTGAGGGAATTGAAGGAAGTGAGGTTCGTGCCGCAGTTGACGAAGAACATCATTTCTCTTGGGACTTTGGAGGCAGCAGGATATCGAGTGATCTTAGAGGATGCTACAGTGAAGGTCACGAAGGGTTCTATGGTGGTGATGCGAGGTGTCAGGGAAAACTACCTATACTACTTGAAGGGCAAGACAGTTACAGGGGGTCTGGCAGCTTCTATCACTACAGAGGAGGACACTACCACCTTATGGCACATGAGACTTGGACACACAGGAGATAAGTCCCTACAGTCATTGGCTAAACAGGGGCTATTGAAAGGTGCTAAGACCTGCAAGATGGAATTGTGTGAGCATTGTGTACTTGGGAAGAAGACTAGAGTGAAGTTCGGCACCGCTGTTCATAACACCCAAGGTACATTGGATTATATTCACACGGACGTTTGGGGTCCTTCCAAGAACACATCTCTTGGTGGGGCCAACTATTTTGTCACTTTCATTGATGATTATTCCAGGAGGAATTGGGTATACCCGATGAAGCATAAACATCAGGTCCTGGATATTTTTGTGGAGTGGAAAAAGAAAGTGGAGCTGCAGACAGGTAGAAAGGTGAAGACTCTACGTTCAGATAACGGTGGAGAGTACAAGAGTGATCCGTTTCTGCAGTTTTGCCGGGATCACGGCATTAGAAGACACTTCACAGTTCGAGAGACACCGCAACAGAACGGGGTGGCTGAGAGATTGAACCGTACCTTGCTGGAGAAGGTGCGGTGTATGATGACGCAGAGTGGATTGCCTAGATCTTTTTGGGCCGAGGCGTTGGTTTATGCGAGCCATCTTGTGAACAGGTTGCCGTGCACTGCGATAGACGGGAAGACTCCTTTGGAGCGTTGGTTTGGTTCGGAGGCTAGTGACTATGAGTCGCTTCGGATATTCGGGTGTCCAGCTTATTATCATGTCAGTGATGGTAAATTAAATCCGAGAGCGAGGAAAGCAGTCTTTGTGGGATTTAGAGATGGAGTCAAAGGCTTCAAGTTATGGGATCCACAGGACAAGAAGATAGTTATTAGCAGAGATGTCACATTTGACGAGGCGTACATGATGAGGCCTCGAACCCCTCAGCAGGTGGAGGGAGACCAGACAGGAGAGATATCGCAGCAGGTGGAGGATGATGTGACTCCACCCACTCCAGAGAACACTGTATCCATTGAGGCTCCTACAGAGGTGACACTGGGAGGAGATGAGATGACAGATGGGCAGATACAGGATACAGTAGATCATGGGACTCAGGAACAGGGTCATGTTCAGAGGACCATTGCAGCAGATAGACCGAGGAGAGAGATTCGTCGGCCAGCTAGGTATAATGATGTCATGGTCGCATATGCATTATCAGTGGAGGTCGTTGATGATATGGTTCCAGCCACATTCAGGGAGGCAGAGTCTAGCCCCGATTCGATCAGGTGGAGGGAAGCTATGGAGGAGGAGATGCGGTCTCTTCAGAAGAACGACACTTGGACACTTGCACATCTACCTAAGGGTAAGAAAGCTATTGGTTGCAAGTGGGTATATGCGAAGAAGGAGGGATCTTCTATTGGGGACATTCGGTTCAAAGCCAGATTAGTTGCCAAGGGATATGCACAGCTTGAGGGCATTGATTACAACGAGGTATTTTCACCCGTTGTGAAGCATTCGTCGATTCGGATTTTATTGGCGTTGGTGGCACAGTTGGATTTGGATTTGGTCCAGATGGATGTGAAGACAGCCTTTCTACACGGTGATTTAGATGAGGAGATCTACATGACACAACCACAGGGTTTCAAAGCTGCAGGAAAGGAAAATTTGGTTTGTAAGCTGAAGAAGTCTCTTTATGGTTTGAAGCAGTCACCAAGACAGTGGTATAAGAGATTCGACGGCTTTATGATTGGCCGAGGGTACACAAGGAGCCCATATGACCCATGTGTTTATATGCACAAGCTACAGGATGGTGAGCTCATATATTTGCTTTTATATGTTGATGATATGCTTATTGCTTCCAGGAATTCTTCGGCTATTCGAAAGCTGAAAGAGGAGTTATCATCCGAGTTTGAGATGAAGGATCTTGGAGAGGCAAAGAAGATATTGGGTATGGAGATCGAGCGAGACAGGGTGAAGGGGAAATTGAAGCTTACACAGAAGAGCTACTTGCAGAAGATGTTGAAGAAATTCAGCTTTGATGGCAATGCAAAAGCAGTTAGCACACCATTGGCTCCCCACTTCAAGCTTTCAGCGTTGATGTCACCTGTTTCAGTTGAGGACAGAGATTATATGTCGAAGGTCCCATATGCTAGTGCAGTAGGTAGCTTGATGTATGCGATGGTGTGTACGAGGCCAGATTTGTCACAGGCCGTGAGCATGGTATCGAGATACATGCATGACCCCGGGAAGGGTCACTGGGAGGCCGTGAAGTGGATTCTACGGTATGTTCGAGGCACCGTGGATGTTGGTTTAGTGTTTCAGAAGGATGAGAAGGACGGGCAGGCTTGTATTGGTTATGTGGATTCAGATTATGCTGGAGATCTTGACAAACGCCGGTCTACGTCAGGTTATGCTTTTACATTGGCAGGTGCACCTGTATGTTGGCGTTGCACGCTTCAGTCCACAGTGGCTCTCTCTACTACAGAGGCAGAGTATATGGCAGGTACTGAAGCTATTAAGGAGGCTTTATTGTTTCAGGTTATGCTTTTACATTGGCAGGTGCACCTGTATGTTGGCGTTGCACGCTTCAGTCCACAGTGGCTCTCTCTACTACAGAGGCAGAGTATATGGCAGTTACTGAAGCTATTAAGGAGGCTTTATGGTTGCGTGGATTATTGGAGGACTTGGGGATTGCTCAGGAGACTATTCGGATATATTGTGATAGTATGTCGGCTATCTATTTGGCGAAGAACCAGGTTTATCATGCGCGCACGAAGCACATCGACGTCAGATTCCACTTTGTACGGGACGTCTTGGATGATGGAGATGTCATATTGGAGAAGGTCCACACAAATGACAACCCTGCAGATATGTTGACCAAAGTTGTTTCAGGAGTGAAATTTGGTCATTGTTTGAAGCTTTTGAACATCCTTCAGTGCTGAGGCCTTTGGAGGCCATTATTATGAACTACGTTCGGCTTGATTCCTTGGGCAAGAGGATACGTAGGCAGTCTTTAGATGCAGCCGGTTTGATCAGTTGATCAAGATGGGGGGAGATCGTGTTTCAGCTCGAGTATTGTTCCTGGACTTGTTGAGGAACTATTGGATGATTTGGTGTCGGCTCAGTTTTTGGTGGAAACATTCGCCGAGGTGGAGAATTGAAGGAATTTCAGCATCAGCAGCAGAATCAGGAAAAACAGGCGGCGGTCGACCGGTCCGGTCGACCGCATTCGTGCACAAGGGTTCCTGTGCGTCTGGAAGGAGGTCGGTCGACCGGTACGGACGACCGACGGCTCTCTGGATTTTTGGGGCTTCTGCTGGATGGTGATCGGTCGACCGGGCCGGTCGACCGGAATTGATCGCGGTCGACCGGGCCGGTCGACCGACGAAGCGGATATCAGTTTTTCAGGTTTTCGACCCGGTTCGTTTTGTAAGTTCTATATATAACTAAACCTGTTTGTTTAGGGTAGATGTTGGACGAATTTGAGCAGCCAAAGAGAGAGAATCATTGCATCCAATTGGGAGAGAGCTTTGAGAGATCTAGAGCTTTGTTTTAGGGTTTGGTCTGAGAGATTTGTAACCCTATTTGTATTCTCTTGATTTCTAGTGGAAGAACTCCCCCCCCCCTTGCCCCGTGGACGTAGGCAACTTGCCAAACCACGTAAATTGTGTGTTCTTGCTGTGATTGTGTTTTGCATATTGTTTGTGGTTTAGTTCTAGTTATTGTTCGTGTTGTCCTAGAAAGCTTCCGCCGCGCACAACAAAAATGTCCTTTTTTCTTTACTTTGTCGCCCAAGTTCTATTCTTGTATACATCATGAGCATGATTGATAAGTATATATAGTTTCTTTCTCAAAAGGGGAGGGGGGAGTAGGTACACTCTTCTAAGCTAAGCGATTTGACTAAGTAGATGCTTAGATATAAATCTAATCATCTTCTCATACTAACATAGTTTGAATCTTGATCTCTAGCTCCTTTATTTTAAAACATACTTTCAAATTTCACAGAGTGCAAACTTACAGGCCTATCCTTTAATTAAAGTACAGTAGGAATTCAAAAGTTTTGTTCCCTTCATCCTTGGGCAAAACCTTTTTTGCTTTCTATTATTTTTTTCTCCCATCAAAAAAGTGTTGTAGGTGACTACTGCCTCTTCCGGAATGCATTCTCAATTGTGGAGTGGTAGACTTGAAGCCAAAAGTGATTACCAACTATTCCATTATTTTTACTTCATATATATTTCACCCTCAACACGATGTTAAGTCTATAAATACCCAAATCTCCTCTTCCTTATATCACACAATCACACGAAGAGAGCTAGCCAGCTAAAATGGCTCTTTCTATGAACTTGCTTCTAGTTTTCACTTCTCTTGCTCTTGTTCCTCTATGCTTTGCTAGCTATGGTGGGCCTAGTTCCAGCGGCTTCCTCTACCCTCAGTTTTATGATCACTCTTGCCCAAAAGCACAGGAGATTGTGAAGAGCGTTGTTGAGAAAGCATTTTATGAGGATAGAAGGATGGCTGCTTCTTTGCTCAGGCTACACTTTCATGACTGTTTTGTGAAGGTAAATACCACCAAGCTTATTATATGCTCTATTTTAATTTGATCGATTGCATTCATTCATTATTACAACAATAACTGCAGTTGCAATTTGTGTCCTCTAACATTATATCCAATGTGTAGGGGTGTGATGGCTCTGTGCTGCTGGACAGTTCAGGCACAATCATAAGCGAGAAGGGATCAAACCCTAACCGGAACTCAGCCAGAGGGTTCGAGGTGATCGATGAGATCAAAGCAGCAATAGAGGAGGAATGCCCTGAGACAGTATCCTGCGCTGATATTCTGGCAATTGCAGCGAGAGACTCCACTGTTCTGGTAATATATTACTCCGATAAACTGCACCAAATCTCTGTAAATGTGTAAAATTAAATATTAGTTTTCTTGCCTATCATCGATCGATCGGTCTATAAGTATTCTAAGGCAATAATTTGTACCGGCTCTGAAACTAAAATTAAGAATTAATATTATATATGTCATTCAGTTACACAGTGCCCGAGCACTGTTTATGTGTGTGTTGGAGGATCCGGATGGGTTAATCATTCAACTGCCTCATTATTGATGTTTCTATATATAATTTTATTGACCATTTTGCTTCACATGTCATCTTCTGAACACAAAGACCAAACTACCCTTTTTGTCGTTCGATGTTTTCCACATTTTACTGATGCTTTGTATAATGTGCTACAGACTGGGGGTCCGAACTGGGAGGTTCCGTTGGGGAGGAGGGACTCCTTGGGTGCAAGTTTGAGCGGATCCAACCAAAACATTCCAGCCCCTAACAACACGCTCCCCACAATTATCACCAAGTTCAAGCTCAAAGGACTCGATATTGTCGATCTCGTCGCTCTCTCAGGTGAATCATCAATTCCTATTTAAAGTAAAAGAAAACTCGTAGCAAATACCGTTCAGTCTGATTTAGTCTAATTGATAACTCTCAGTCAAAGCATATTGTTACTGCCACCCATATGATGATTCTTTCGCCACGTGTGGGCTAATCAAACCCTAATGATAACTTGGGACTTGATAATTTAAATGACAATCATGACACAAAATACAGCTATTATCATTTATAGGATTCTTCCCCATGGAAATGGGCTGTCTGTGGACTAATTACGCCAATCATTTTTTCAACACCGCAAGACTTCGCTCCCTCTTGATCCCAACCTGAACTGATACCATGCGGTACGCCAATAGTGTGTTTGGATGAGGGGTAGCCAAGAATAAGGGAATGAAAAATAGCACTCAACTGCGCCCTTCATCACAATCATGGAACCAAATTTAACTCTCTATCATTATATCATTATAGATGTTCAGATTTGATTATGAAACTATTTTTTCCCTTTTCTTTCCTTGGTCAGAACTTCGAAACAGGATGAATCAAGTTCCCCTCCATTTCCTTGAACACAGTGCAAAGCTTAACCCTTTAGATACTGACCTCAACCTTCTATTTACTTATTTCCAATGCGCAACTTTATTCGTACACAAATTACTAACCATTAATTAGCGCGTCTCGACTGTGAGATTTGATAAGCCACTCATCATTTAATGTTCAAAGACTACACAAACGACTGAGCGCACCAATATTGCAGGAGCCCACACCATCGGCGACTCACGATGCACGAGCTTCAGGCAGAGGCTCTACAACCAGACAGGCAACGGTTTGCCCGACCCCACGCTCGACCCATCCTACGCGGCCGAGCTGAAGCAACGCTGCCCAAAGTCCGGCGGCGATCAGAACCTCTTCGTCCTCGACTGTGTCAGCCCCTTCAAGTTCGACAACTTCTACTTCAAGAATCTCATCGACAAGAAGGGCCTCTTGAGCTCCGACGAGATCCTGTTCACTCAGAGCCCTGCGACGATGGAGCTCGTCAAGAAGTACGCGGAGAGCAACGAGCTGTTTTTCGATCACTTTGCCAAGTCTATGGTGAAGATGGGGAATATTACTCCGCTTACTGGGAAGAGGGGGGAGATTAGGAAGATTTGCAGGAGGGTTAATCATTGATTTGGGGTTTGAGAGTTGTGTTTTCAACCTTTGATTAATGAGTGGGTGTTGTTGTCTTTTACCTTTCGTTTTGGGGTCAACGTGGATGCGAGCTTGTTGTTGCTTTGTTCATTGTGGAGGTATTGTTGTGTAATTTTGTTGAAATTGTTTCCTTGAATAAAATGCTCCTTGTGTTTTTTTATTTATTTATTTTTTCTTTTCTTTTTTACTTTCGCTGGCTGTCTTGCCCCATAATTTAATTTTCAATGAGCCCTGCTTAATTTTTATTGATTATCACTTAATATAAGAAAGCCCTCTTGAGTTTAGAGGTTTTTAGAACACCCCCTTCAACTTTAAGATGTTTTGCTATAAGACTCCCCTGTCCAAGTTAAGTGCAATTTACACATAATGGTTAAAATTTTCACATTGCTCGTATACAATTAGTTTGTTGGTTTGTTGGCGCATTACTTGTATTTATTTGTATTTCTCTATTGACTCGTTATTTTTACAGCAAATCAAACGTAATTTTTTATGTCCATAAAAAGGAAAATAAATAAATGTAATTTTCACAAGACTCCCTGTAATTGTAGTTTGCACATAACCCCCTCTTTTTTTATCTCATAAAACCCCCCAAACTTTGGGGTTTTCCATAAAAGTAACCCAAAACATGCAATTTGTCAATTCCTTGCAACTACTTTCCAAGAAATTTGGCAAAATGTTTCCTGTTAGGGGCTGTTTTTTATTTTTTTGTTTCTAAAAATATGAAAACCCTTTCTAGTAATAAAAAATCTATTTCCACTCATTTTCCATGTGTTTTAAGAAGCACTATTTATTTATTTATTTATTTATCTATTTATTGTTTTGGCATGGAAACATGGGGTGGAAATATTTTGTATCTCATTCTTTTGTTCCGTTCAAAAGCGAAAAATAAGAAACCAATTGAGATAAAAATATCTCTCTCATTATATTTTATCAACTCCCTATATTTTGTTCTTAGTTAAATACTAAAAACTCACATTTCCAACATTTTCCTCCTGATTTCATTACTTTTGAATAGAAATAGTTTCCTTTTGTAATGATTTTCCTCACTTTTAAGAAAATATTTCTAAAATTTTTTTGGTGAAACAAACAATAACAAATAGAAACTGATGGAATTTTTTTTTAACTTGCATTACCAACCCTTTCTGAGGTTCCCACCCGAAACAAACAACCCTTTATATTATTCCTTAACAGTGTCATTTTATCCTAGATTAAAAAAAAAAATCGAAATGTACCAAGGGGAAAAGGAAACAAGCGATTGCGATTTGCGACCTAACCCAAAAAAATATATATATTGGTACTGTTTTTTTCTCTTTAATTTTCCTCTCACCAGCCTTTTTTCACTGAAAATTAGAGGCTATAATCTGTGATTTTGTTCTTTTTCTAAACTTTGATTATTTTGTTATGATTCCTCCCATTTCACTCCCACTGAGTTTCTTTTTCCTGATTTTTCATTGATAACTTCTGATATATTTTACCTCAGGAAGCAAGGGGTTTAGGGTTTTGCAATTTGTCATTTATATGATAAATTACTCTTGAAGAGATTCCTTTGCTCTTGCTCTCACAAATTTTGGTGAATAGATGATTTTTTAGCTTTCAGTAATTTATGACATCGCTCGAGTACTACTCGGTTAGGGTTTGGTCTCCATCAATTAATCTCAAGAAAAATCGTCAAGAAATTGGGAAACAAAGAAGATTTTAATACATCCACACGAAAATTATACATCTCTCTTTAACCTACAACTTGCTCGATCTTTATTAATGAAAAATATGCGATTTTGGCATCCTACTATACTTCAATTTCGCAGGCCCCAGTCTTCAAAGGGCAACACAAGGCCAATCCCTAACATCAACTCCTTAAGCCCACAGAGAGACCGTACAATGAAGCAATCAGAAAATATTGGTGGTGATTGTACAAGTCTCATCCGATATCACGGTGTGTTCTCTAGGGCACCTCATGGCTTCGAAAGGCGGCGGAAGTTCTCGAAGCGACACGAACAATAACTCGAGATAAATCATAACTACTAAGCAAATCACAATCACAGCAAGAACAAACTATTTACGTGGTTCGACAAGTTGCCTACGTCCACGGGGCAAGGAGGGGGGAGTTCTCACTATTAGAAATCAAGAGAATACAAATAGAACGTCCACGGGGCAAGGAGGGGGGAGTTCTCACTATTAGAAATCAAGAGAATACAAATAGAGTTACAAATCTCACCGATCAAGGAGGGGGGAGTTCTCACTATTAGAAATCAAGAGAATACAAATAGAGTTACAAATCTCACCGATCAAGCCCTAAAACAAAGCTCTAGATCTCTCACAAATCTCTCACAATTGGATGCAACAATCCTCTCCAAAAGACTGCTCAAAATCGTCTTTGCTTAACCATAACTAATTACAATTAGAGTTATATATCAGCTCCAAAACGAACCGGGTCAAAAACCAAAGCCCAGCCCAAAAACAATCTGCGGTCGACCGTCGCGGTCGACCGAACACTTCCGACAGAGAACAAATTGACTACAGGAAACTCACGGTCGACCGTGGCGGTCGACCGAAACAAACGTCCATGCGGTCGACCGTGGCGGTCGACCGCCTTCAGCTCCCAGCTCTTCCTGACCCTTGTGCACGTTCGCGGTCGACCGCCGCTGACTCGCGGTCGACCGCCAGTCTGCCTGGCTGAATATCTGGGTTGTTTTCTTTAGCTGTTTGCCAATTCTTTAATTCTCCACCTCGGTGAATGTTTCTACCAAAACTGAGCCGACACCAAATCATCCAAAAGTCCCGCAACAAGTCCGGGAACCAAACTAGAGCTGAAACGCGATCTCCCCCCATCTGAATCAATAGATCAAACCGGCTGCATCTGAAAGACTGCCTACGTATCCTCTTGTCCAATGAATCAAGCCGAACGCAGTTCACCCAAATGGCCTCCAAAGGCCTCAATACTGAAGAATGTTCAAAAGCATCAAACAATGACCTAATTTCACTCTTGAATCAACTTTGGTCAACATATCTGCAGGGTTGTCGTTCGTGTGGACCTTCTCCAATATGATGTCTCCATCATCCAAAACGTCACGAACAAAGTGGAATCTGACATCAATGTGCTTCGTGCGGGTATGATAAACCTGGTTCTTCGCCAAATAGATAGCTGACATGCTATCACAATATACCCGAATGGTCTCCTGTGCAATCTTCAAGTCCTCCAATAATCCACACAACCGCAAAGCCTCCTTCACAGCTTCATTCACTGTCATATACTCCGCCTCTGTAGTAGAGAGAGCCACTGTGGACTGAAGTGTACATCACCAACATACATGTGCACCTGCCAATGTAAAAGCATAACCTGAAGTGGACCGGCGCTTGTTAAGATCTCCAGCATAATCTGAATCCACGTAACCAATACAACCATGTCCATTCTTCTCATCCTTCTGGAATACCAAACCAACATCCACGGTGCCTCGAACATATCGTAGAATCCACTTCACGGCCTCCCAATGACCCTTCCCGGGGTCGTGCATGTACCTCGATACCATGCTCACGGCCTGTGACAAATCTGGCCTCGTACACACCATCGCATACATCAAGCTACATACTGCACTGGCATATGAGACCTTTGACATATAATCTCCATCCTCAACTGAAACAGGCAACATCAATGCTGAAAGCTTGAAGTGGGGAGTCAATGGAGTGTTAACTGCTTTTGCATTTCCATCAAAGCTGAATTTCTTCAACATCTTCTGCAAATAGCTCTTCTGTGTAAGCTTCAAACTCCCATTCACCCTATCTCTCTCGATCTCTATACCCAATATCTTTTTTTCCTCTCCAAGATCCTTCATCTTGAATTCGGATGACAGCTCATCCTTCAACTTTCGAATAGCCAAAGAATTCCTGAAAGTAATAAGCATATCATCAACATATAAAAGTAAATATATGTGCTCACCATCCTGTAGCTTGTGCATATAAACACATGGGTCATATGTACTCCTCGTGTACCCATGGCCAATCATAAAGCTGTCGAATCTCTTATACCACTGTCTCGACAATTGCTTCAAACCATAAAGAGACTTCTTCAGCTTGTAAACCAAATCTTCCTTTCCTACAGCTTTGAATCCTAAGGGTTGTGCCATGTAGATCTCCTCATCTAAATCTTCATGTAGAAAGGCTGTCTTCACATCCATCTGAACCAAATCCAAATTCAATTATGCCACTAATGCCAATAAAATCATTATCGACGAATGCTTCACAACGGGTGAAAATACCTCGTTGTAATCAATGCCCTCAAGCTGTGCATATCCCTTGGCAACAAATCTGGCTTTGAATCGAATGTCCCCAATTAAAGATCCCTCCTTCTTCGCATATACCCACTTGCAACCTATAGCTCTCTTACCCTTAAGTAGATGTGCAAGTTTCCAAGTATCGTTCTTCTGAAGAGACTGCATCTCCTCCTCCATAGCTTCCCTCCACCTGATCGAATCGGGGCTAAAATCTGTCTCCCTGAATATGGATGGAACCATATCATCAACGACCTTCACTGATAATACATATGCGACCGTGACATCATTATACCTAGCTGGCCAATGAATCACCCTCCTCGGTCTATCTGCTGCAATGAACCCCTAAACATGACCATGTTCCTGAGTCTCACATTCCACTGTATCCTCAATCTTTCCGGCTATCATCCTATCTCCTCCCAGTGTCACCTCTGTAGGAGCCTCGATTGATACAATGCTCTCTGGATTGGGTGGAGTCACATCATCCTCCACCTACTGCGATATCTCAACTGTCTGGTTACCCCTCACCTGCTGAGGGACTCGAGGCCTCATCATGTACGCCTCATCGAATGTGACATCTCTGCTAATAACTATCTTCTTGTCTTGTGGATCCCATAACTTGAAGCTTGAAGCCTTTAACTCCATTTCTAAATCCCACAAAGACTTCTTTCCTCGCCCTCAGATTTAATTTACCATCACTGACATGGTAATAAGCTTGACACCCAAATATCCGAAGCGACTCATAGTCACTAGCCACCGAACCAAACCAACGCTCCAAAGGAGTCTTCCCGTCTATCGCAGTGCACGGCAACCTATTCACGAGATGGCTTGTATAAACCAACGCCCCGGCCCAAAAGGATCTGGGCAATCCACTCTGCGTCATCATACATCACACCTTC